ATTGGAAAGTGAGTAATAGTTAATCCTTGGTGTATACCATACTTAACCAAATTTTTTATCAATTTTTTTTTTTTTTTTTTTTGTAACATTAAGTTATTCTATAAATACTATTATTCTACATTTATAATCATTAATTTTAGAATGTACACTAGTGGATTAAATCCAAAAATTAAAATGCTTTATCCAACAATAAAATATCCTGTTAGTCGTGGAACACCTTCAATTTATGGTTTACCGTTTTGGGACCATACTGGAAGATGGTCCAATGAAATACATGAGTTTGTAAGTATGTTTTTAGTTGACTTATCAGCCTATCAATGAATTAGTTTTGCATTGTATATGAATTTAACCTATGATCCGCAATCTTATTTTGAAGCATGGATAAATTAAGAATTATATTTAATTTAGAATTAAAAACGATTTATGTGATTTGTTGAAAAATTTGTTTTTGCATAAATAAATAAAAAAAAAATTATATGTAGTACTAGTAAATTTATAGTATAAATAAATGACATAGCCTTAAAGTATAAAATTTTATCTTTGTATATAGCCCCTCACAGTTTGTTCAACTTTTATGTTTATTTTTCAAATTTAAATTGAATTTTATTCTTAACGCGTAATTGAAATACTATTGCATCATATTTAGAACATCTATTAATCAGTAAATGTTTGTCTGTGGAAAACATAGACTGTTCGTAAGCTACAGAAAGTAACAGAAAACCACCCTAATTTTTTTTCCACAACTTATAGTCTAATTTCCAAAATATCTTCAGGGTTGAACTAACAAATATCTAATTTGATAAAATTTTATTTTAGCTAAAAGAGCGGTCTGGTGAACACATTTTTTCATTAGTCCTCAATGATGATATACACTTAGATAAGTACCAAATTCATGGTCAGAATATAATACCATTTTCTGTTATATTAGTAAGAAAAAAAATTTTTACATATCTATATGTTTTGTATAATATTGTAAGTTTAACAATTTTCAGTATAATGTGTGGAAGACATTGATTGAAATAAACTCTAAGAGTTTAAACAAAAATTCGGTTAAATTTCAAAATCTTCGATTCAAAAATAATATCAAAATTCATACAACTGGTACATAATTATATTTATAATATTAAATAAATTAATATGCAAAAGAAAACTAATTTTGTTTTTAGATTCTATTGATGGATATATCATGATTCAATTGGGTTCTGGTCTTTTTGAGTGCAATGTTGATAATGAAATTATTTTATCGGGTGAAATTCAATTTTTAAATGATAAAGTGTTATCTTCGACTGAAGAAAACTTAATACACTTCGACGAAACATCTGACGACTTCTATTACAATGCATCGGAAAATGATATTTATTCTATTTTAGAAAATAATGGATTCAATTTAGGATTCAAAAACATTACTAACCTTGAAATTTATAAAACTAAAATCCAAGGTTCCGTAAAATGGGAAAACGATTGGATTAATTTTTTGGAGGGTTTATTTAAGTTTCCATATTTAGAACATTTAGGTACACGCCCTATAGAAATTCCAGTTTATATAAGAGAATTGTGTATAATTCCTAAACTATTTGAGAATCGCTCAGATAAAGGTACATTAAAAATAACATTTACCAAATATTATAGATATGATGAATGTATTAACTTTATGTTTTGTTGACAGATAATATAACCGTACATTACAACAAACTAACAAATGAAGTAACTTGTGACGGAATTAAAATAATAGGTGTCAAAAACGGACCCATATCATTACCCATACTTAATCCTTCGGTTATTAAATTACAAGAAAAATCGTTTACTAAATTTAACCATTTAAAATGCAAAGTAAGAAAATATTTAAGTATATTTTATACTTACAATAATTACAATCACTTATTACTAATTATATTATTATTTATTATTTATAACTAAAATAACTTAAATTTTTGTGTTCTATCTTTCATTAGGTAATACTTTAAATTTTTTAWATTAATTTCAATAATCCGTTACGTTAAATTCATATTTTCGATTATCTACCTATTATTATTGTTATCACCCATATGCGTTGTCTCCGACTCACAAGTGAGTAACAGAGTAAATTGTACATTCATAAGTCCACATTTAACTTTATTAGTTTAAAATTTAGAGTAAATTATTGATCCCTAATAAAGACCAGATAACGAAAAATATTAGGAATGAGATTTAATTAATCATTGCAAATTTTTTAATTATCTATTCATAGGAAATCTCACTGTTTCAGATAAAATATTTTAATTAACCATCAAAAATATTTAATGTTAATTGAATAAGTACATAAATTTATGTATTTATCTACAAATTTAATAGGGTCAAATTACTTATGAATACGTTAACTATAACTCTTACAGGTACACAATAATTTGATTTTGACTACCATTTAACACTTCCGACATAAAGATAATTATAAATTTGTAAGTACCTTTAAGATGTGACAAGTTGGCGTTGTCATAAAAACATCCCATTCTAGAGAAGAGCTAAGGTTTTATTTTTAATTTGTAGTCAAACAATTGAAAATAAACTAAACCTAGCATAACGTTTCCAACGTTTTTTCAAAACATTTTAATATTTTATCGAATATTTTTGAAGCACTTTTAAAACTATTTTGCAATTTAGTAATACATAAAATTAAATCAGATATGAATAGATTATTTTTATTGAATTAACTCTTTTTCCTTCGAAAATTGTAAATATATGGCATAATAAAAGATACGAATGAGATATACATAAACATTATATTATTAAACATCATACAAATTTAAATTTAAATTATGAATTTCGATAAAAATACTATTAAACAGATCTTAACAAATAAAAGTCAATTGTATAAAACTATTTAGTTACATAGCTTAAAACATAATTTTAGATCATCGTAATAAAATTATCCAAAATATAAGTATAATATTTTTTATTCCAGAACATCAGCAATTTCATTCAAGATTCTATGAATATAATCATAGATATTGACCAATTTAATTTTGAACCCAGTGGAAAAATTATTTTTAGTATTCCATATAATTACGATGATTCAATGACCAAAGCATGTACAGATGAAATCATAGAAATTTTGGAAAACAAATTATGTATTAATGTAAGTGTATAATGTTATGAAATAACAGATTCGTAATTAATAATAATGAAAATAATATGAACTTATCATAACAATTAGAGTAAAACAATTAACTGGGAAAACATTAAAGAAGTATCAGATATTGATGAATCTGGACCGGGAAAGTTTGTCACTGTGACAAATGCAAATTATTTACAAGACACGACCAGAGCATTGGCCGATAAAAAAAATTGTTTCATTATTGTATGTTCGCTAAAAAAAGTTCAAGAACTCAAAGACTGGAAAAHAATTACACAGCAGGAATTCAATAATAACAACTATTTAACATTGATGAAGAAGGTAAACGGATGAGTTATTTACTTAAAAAATTATACAAAAGAATCAATTTTTTCAGATAATGACCTTAGAAGAAAACAGCATATTTATTAAACCAACCAATGATAATTACGACTTAAGCATCTGGAGAGCATTAGAAACATTTAAGTTATCAACGGGRAAAATTTACATAGTTTCCAAGTCTGAACCATTAGAAGGCATTACCACATATGTTAAAGAAATGTTAAATAAGTATAAATCAAAGAAATTAAGGTGAATATACAAAAAACTATTTAAAAATCAAACATGCAAATTTATACTGATATTTTTGTTAGATTCTTGTTCATTTTGGATTCAAACGTGCCAGATTTTGAATCCAACAAATCGTTTTATACATCTCAACTATCAAAAGATTTATTAGTAAATATCTATAAGAACGGTGATTGGGGTTATTACAAAAAAAAAATTCTACATAATTTAAAAGACGATATTAAGGTCAATGAAAATCTGGTAATTAAAAACATTACTAAAAATAGGTAAGTTGAACAATTTTTTTTTAATSTTCATTGTTACRTCAAATTATCACACAATTTTACTTTCTTTCAGTAGAAACAAATTAGCAGTAAAATATCTAGGGCTGAATTTTAAAGATTTAGTTGTTGAAGAAAATACAGAAGTAATTATTTAATTTCAAAATGATTTATTAAAAATATAATATTTCTTTAATTTAAATTAGAATAAATTTGGACCTCTGGAATACTCAGGGTATATCGATGAAAAAACCACCATGGGAATAACTTCGCTCAATGAAATATCTTCTGAAATGATTTATGACCCACTTTTGTCTTGGCCTGTACCATCGACATGGTCACTRCAAGATGCAACCACAATTCCTCTGGCTTACGCCACGGTGATGACAYTTTTAATTAATTAACACGACAGATTGACAGACTGAATATAATAATTAATTTTCGATGTTTCAGTGCTATTATGTGTTTAACATATTGAGTAAACTTCAAAATAATAAATCTGTTTTGGTGACCTCGGGGTTGCATCCAATAGGTCAAGCTGCTATTTCGATATGTTTAAACATGAAATGTGAGACATATGCTATTGTTGACTCGGACCAACAAGCTGATCAACTCTCTTGTACCTTCCCASAGGTAATAGTTCATGATGAGAGTGATTAWAGACATCAATAATAACTACAATTTGAATTACAGCTATCACGGTCAAAGATAATTATAAACAAAAACAACAAGTTTGATGTTCAACTAAAAATGATAACCAAGTCCAAGGGTGTAGATATTATATTGAACTTTTTTAGTGGTGAATCATTTTACGCTGCTACYCGTGCGRTTGCTAAACATGGAAAGCTCTTCAGTTTTTCAAATTCAGACATGAAAAATCAAAAATATATGGGTAATTTTCTAATAKAACATTTCATCTGTTATCTTTATTTCACGAAGAATATAGTTAAAAAAAAAAAATTCTTTATATTAAGGTATTGGAATATTCTTGCAAGACATATCATTTTTTGCTGTCGGTTCAAACATGTTGTTAAATGAAAGTATTGAAAATAAACAACTTGTACAACAAGCATTCATGGATGGTTTAAATGATGGCGTGATAAAACCTTATCGTAGTCGTATTGTTTCAACGCCATTGAGCGATAGTAGTTTGTTTGATACAATGAGGTATATATTGAGTAATACAATATAAGCAATTATAAAAACTTGTACAAAGTTCTTTTTGATATAGAAGTAACGCAACATTGGCTACGTCAGAAAAAGTAATATTGTCAATAAATGGCCATATCCATAATGTCAAAAGTTCTAAGATAAAAGAAAAAGATGAATTTAAGTCGTTTGAATGTCATCCAGACAAAACTTACCTAATAGTTGGTAAATATTTTATTACACATTTGATTTATTATATTCGTTAATCATAATATATTTAAACATGGTATATTTAACTATTTTGTTATTTGATATTGTAGGAAATAGAGGTGATTGGATTGACCTCGCTGAATGGTTGGTCGAACGAGGGGCCCAAAGAATCGTAATCGCAGTTAAAAGATGCTTAATGTCATCAWCTATTTCTAGGAAGTTCGTAAATACTTAAATTAATATCTAATATTTATACTTGATATTCATAATATTATTTATAACTATGTTTTGGATTAAAGATTTGATAAACTCATCTCTCAAAATGTATCAATACAAATCGAATCAGATTTACACTTAAAAACTAAAGAAGAATCGCTTAACTGGTTAAATTTTTTGACGTCATCTAAACATTTAGGAGCATTATTTATAGTGAATCAGGTATAATAATTTTGATTTTAGCTAATCATTTTTTTTTATATACTTATTGATTTTTAAATTTTAGACTGACGAAAAAAAATTATTTAATTTGGGATATTCTTTCGAAAAKCTTAAGAATAAAACAACTGCTACTCCATTTATATGTATACTATGTAAAGCGGAAAACATTTGTGCTGAGCTTAAAGCAATAGGTTTTAAYGCATTAAACATATCGTGGGATGGAGTGCCTTCAGGACCAAAAAATACAGGAATAGTATTGTCTTCTCTCGATTTTTTACTTCAAAATTCAAACACTTCAGAATCATATTCATTTATATGCTCTAAAAAAAACAACAATACATCAAAATGTAATTATTGGTTAAACAATTAAAATATAAATAGACGATTTTAGTAATAATTTATAAATATTTATTATTTATATTTATATCATAATATGAAAAAAAAAAACATTAATTTCAGGGTCTTACCCAATAAACGATGTAATTGCGAATTTTTTCCCTGAATCTACTAGTGAGTTACACCTTTTAAATAATAAAATAACAAAAGAAGCCGGATTTATTGAAGTTGCTACAAGAAGTCCTAGGTTATCACAATTGAAGTCTGTTATACCTGTGTTCACCATACCTGGATTTAATCCAAARGCCATCGAATCGTTTTATAAAMAAWTTTTTTATCCTGTCTTTGAAGCACAATACCCTGAAGACATTACTTCGATTGATATCTTAGCCRAAACTTTAGTAAATGTATGTTTATAATGTACAAAARTACCTATATATTTTTCAACTGATTTATATTTTATCTAATCCTTAGAAACTTAGAAGCATTACGGATCRTGGATATGTATCCATTATTGGTGAATCTTGGGGHGGAATTATTGCTTTAAAAATGGCTCAAATATTAGAGTCGCAAGGAATTTTGGTCACTGTAACACTATTAGAAGTTGACCTAGAGTTTTTAACTGGATGGGCTAAACGTTTTCTGTCAAATGATAATTTGGCCGAAAGGTTAAATAAAATGTATAATTCATACTTTAGTCAGGTAAATTCTGTTTACAGAAAGATTAACTAGTATTAATTTGTTAGTAGTTATTAATTATTATCTTATAACAAAATCAATGATTTTGTCATAGAACTGGGCAGCAATTTGTAATGAGTAAATAATTGCTGTTTTAATTTTGTTTATAACTCTTTACTACTATCCAATCAATTATTTTTTAATTATTATAAAAGTCATTAATTATGGTTTTATCTAATTTACTAAATCTACAATGCAGACGAATGACAATGAATTTCAGTCAATTAATATGGCTTTACAACTTAAAATATTTAACGAAAACACACATAGAGCTTTAAACTTGATTTGGTCTCTATTACGGACAACCTTGGAGTCTATACCTCTGTCAAACAGATTGCATACGAATTTGTTGGTATTAAGATATGAAAGGAAGTTTGAATTCCATAAAACAGATTTGAGTGATGTAAGTTTACTTGAATGTTTATTATTTTGTTATTAATAAATATTTTAGTTTTACGTTCGTTTTGTGCAGTATTGTATTAACCCGCCATTTGTTTTCATCATACCTAAGCCAGATTACAGAAGTATGTTGGAGGACAAGAACACGATTGAATCCATAATTAAAAACGTAGCACTATTGTATCCGGTTGGAATTGAAATATCATTGAGTAATAAATATAAAAATTTTTACTATAATGTTGAAAAACATTCGATTGTATAAATAAATCATAACATTTGATTTAATTTGCTTACTTTTAATATATAATAATATGCTTATACTTTATAGTTAATGAAGTGAATAAACAGATTATTAATTATRCATTGAACAATAGAGTATTGTTTTTTTTTTCAAGGAAAAACCTATTCACTATCGTATACAAATAAGTACCAATATTATGTGTATGTTGAACSAAACACAACAAATAAAATATTTTTAAATGAAAAATTAGGTACTTGAAATAATTTGTCATACTTTTAATTATTAAGCTTATATAGTTATATATGACATACAATTTTCAGTAAATTTCTTTAAAATCCACGAAACCTGTTCATAACAATAATTTATTATCATTATTTATGTCTTAACTACCTGTATTTTGTCATAGCAAATTATGTAAAATATAGGCCAGATTCTAAAGATGATATAAAATCATTGAATATGAAAAACAATTCTGAGCCAAGATTCTGTCTGTCTAGTGTCTATAATATAACAAAGTAGGTACATATTGTGATATTAGTGTGATAATTAAAGTAATTTATTCTACAATTAAATGCTATTACTGTGTAATGGGTATATTTTTTACATTTTTATTAATAGTCTGAACTATTAATGAGAATCATTGCTGTACCTACATTTTTAATCCATAGCAATACAAATTGAATATTTTAAAGATTTTTTAATTAGTAGAGCGTGGATTTATATGCATTAAAAATCAACCAAATATGCACTAAAAAATGTTAAATATGTATAAAAAAATTATCAAAAAAAAAAATTTTTTTAAACATTTAATTAAAACAACATATTATTTTAAATTATGGAACCCTCTTATAAATCATTTTTTTCGTTTTTTTCTGAAATAATGTCAATAATAAATGATCAAAATCTATATTTTCTTATCATGCTATACGTATTTTATTTCGCCAATTATTGATCTAAGGTCTAAGATCTTTATTAAAACCGTTTATACTTACAAGTATAGCGATTAATTTAATTTTGTATTAATCGAAACTACAAAAATATAATATTTTTTTCTTAGGTATTATTATAATAGTATATACAAAAATGTCTAAAAAAACAATCAAAAATGAAATATGCAATACAAATTGTAAAATAAGCCCTTAAAATAGAAGAAAAAAAATGCGGGTAAGTCGTAGATGTCGCTCTGCTGTACAGTATAGGTTAC